CACATCAAGATCCCTCTTTCATAACTTTCTAGAATTGAAGGATGGGGTGGAGTGGGGATGGAAGGAATCACCGGGCTGTTCTTTTCCAGTCTGCAGTGCCAGGCTGCCTTCTGCTCTGCACTGGGGATGAAGCGCACACAGATATGCTTTCTATATCAGGCTGGCCCAACCCTTGGAGAGACAAGAAGGGGAGAGGCCATCAGTACCTCACATGCACGGCAGCGATGCCAGGGGCAGCTGGTCCACACAGCTCTGTTCTACTATTAATCCTGAAACGGCTCCAAGCTGAGAGCAGTAAAACCTGAGTGAGGCTCAGCTTTGCTACTGCCACCATTGGTTGCCACTAAGCCTCCTCTTGCCTCAATTTCTCAGACCCTTCCATGAGAACACTCCTCCTGGGCATGTAACTCACAGAAGTTACATGGCCGTGGGATGAACACCCTTTTCATAGCATTATACTGGAATGTGCTTTCCTGTACCAGAGGCTGGACTGAGACCAGAAAGTGGAAGTATGAGGGCTGGCCCTACTCATGTGAGTGTCAGAGAAATACCATGAAACCTTTAAAGTTAGTCCACAGCATGGCTCCAGGCTTTCAGGACATAGCAATGAATTCCCAGGTGTCAAAAGAAAAGGTCAGACCCAGGGACCAAGGGAAAATTGAAAAGACACTAAGTCCACCATCTCTAATTCAAAAGGAAAACCTTCCGCCCCAGGCCAGGCTCTATTCACTATTAGCGAGCAGAAAGTAAAAAACAGGGGAGGATCTGTTTTGCCCTGCCTCCCAGTCTTCTGGACATTTCCAGCACTCAGGAAGGAGACACTGAAGGTCAAGAGTTCCCACAGTAAAACAGGTGTGGGCACAGTGAAGGCTTGGGAAGTCCGAGGTGCAGGTCTCCTAGAACTCGGGGTGCTGTGTCAGGCCTGGGGTGAGGGGTGTGCATAAAATGCAAACATCAGACCCAGATCTCCTAACAAAACTGTCCAAGAAGAGCCAACCGACCCCAGTGTTATGACAGCTGCAAGGGGGCAGGCCAGCACTGAGGACGTCTGCCTGTGTGGGGACAATGGGTCCTTTGTGGGCTCCAGGTGGGTCTGGGGAGGGGAAGTATGAGGAGGCAGTCCTCGCCAGGACCCCAGAAATGGAACGTTGCCTGGGAAGGGCCGAAGACAACAGCTCACCCAAGCTTAAGTCCAGCAGAACAGACAAGGTTCTTGCTTCGTTTTGAAAAACTCCGTCCATCTCCTCCGTCCCACGAGTGAACTCTGCACGGAAGCTTCTGTCTGGGATCGCGGGGTGCTCTGAGCCTGTGTGTTGTAGAGTCTCCCTCCTTAGAGTGCCAAGCAACGGGCATGGCATCCCTGGCACACAAAACACAGACGATGCGCTGCCCACTGTGCCCTGAATGAGGAGGGCAGGAAATCCCACCCAGCTCGCTTGCCTGCCAGCCCTCCCTACACCAGAGCAGGAGGGCCCAAAAGCACTGCTCCCAGCCTGTCCTCCTCGCCTCCTTTCCCGCTGCTCCACCTCTCACCACCCTTCACGGAGTCAGGGCCATGGGGCACAACATCCCTGGGCTGCATGCCTATTGACTCTGAGGAGCTCATATGGTGCCCTGCAAAGCCCTCCCTGCCCCCCAGCACCCACCACAAGCCCGAGTCCAGGTGTTAATAGTAGGAGTATCCCGAAGACCAAGTAGCCTAGGGAAGTAGAACAGAGAATAACTTCAGGTAGACCCTATATGTGCCCTGGAGGGCCCTAACTGACTAATGACACACTTCACTCAGGACATCCTCCTGGAGGCCCGAGGTCACCACCCAGCAGCACACATAAGGCCATGCTTCAGCCCCTTCTGCCATTTGTGTGGGATATTTCCTAATTTGTTCAGAACTCAGACATTCAGAGATGTATTTATTGACTCTGCTCAGAGACCCCAACCCCTCTCAGGCCCCATGTCCGGCCCTAAGATTCACCACTTCCCAGGATGATTTATAATACAGTTCACCCCCTTCAGGAGAAACCCCCTCCACTCGGGGCCAACCCCGAGACACATAAAGGCTGCAGTGCAGCTAGGGACAGCGATGCCAGCCTGTGCTCTCCACTCTGACAGGCTTCTTCTGGGCAAAGTTCTTTCTCTTCCCCCACACAGAGCACAACCTCCCTGATGCTTTGGGGAAGGAGAGCACTGTGGGGTTAGAACATGCAGAAGATGCATGGCATAGCTTCTCATGGCAAAAGGTACCATACAGGTGTATGGTCAAGGATTAGAAAGGCAAGGAAGCAAAAAGATACAGAGGTGTGTTATCCACCACCCCTACCTTCCTCCTCCATAACACATTAGTACATATCCAGTAAGGAGTTAAGGATGTGCCTTCTTCACAAAGACAAGGAATGTGTATGATGTAGTGTGTGTGTACCTGTGTGTCCGTGTGCATATCTAAGTGCCTCTATGTGTGCCTGGATGTGTGTGTCTAGGTGTGAGCACTTACATCCTCTGAGCAGGGGAAGGAAGTGTTGGAAGAGAAAGCATGAGGCTTAGAGCAAGTACCAAGGCCACACTTTTTCTCCCCTTCCCTCCTTGGACCTAGTACAGGGGGCCAGGGATGGCCACACAGTAGACTCGTCTTGAAGCCCAAGTCTGAGTTAGAACTGAGAGAACAGTACATCTTGGAAGACACAGCAGCAAGCCTTTCAGAGAGGCCTTAGCCACCCAGCTCTACCTGCTCTATACCTGAATGACGTGGTAGAACATCCTTAAGTTCCCAAAGGACGAAATGGAACTTGGAAGTTCAATAAGCCAGGTGAGGTGGGGAATGGGAGAAGCTACATCAAATGAACCCACACGGACAGTCTCCAGTGAAGCCCAGGCAGAGATTCTGCTACTACCTCAACAGGCCTCTGTACCAGGACACCAAGGGCCATGGACACCATTCCTGGAGGCCTGTCCCACCTTAATCCAGAAGGCTATGAAAAATGCACCAAAAAACGCCAGGATCAGCCGAGTTAGGGCAAGAGAACAAGCCCAAGCCTTAAAGGGGGTGGCTGCTGAGCGCCTTTGTTGTATCAAGTGAGCGTTTGGGCAGTCCCAGGCTCCCAGTTAAAACCACAAAGTTTGAAACTGAAAATGCATGAGAAATGATTAAGTCAGAAGTCAACCAGGAAATGGTTGGCTTCTCTCTATGAGTCCTAAAAGAATCTAGACTAGAATTATGGGAAACAACAAGGTTACATTTCTTTCACACCCAGATCTAATGGGGAACTTTGAACCACTACGAAGTCTGCCTGTCCTTGCGGTCTGCTGAGGGTCCCCAGTCGCGGGCTGCAATGGGAGAGGTCACCTGTGTCCCTCCACACAGACCCCGCCTCACCCGCACACCAGAAGTACAGGGCAGACTGGAACACACGTTCCCAAGAATCCACTTGATGGTAATCACTGCGGCTGCTTTATGAAAGGACTCCTTGAGTTGGAATGAGTCCGTTTGTAATAAATTCAATAAACTTCAGGCCATAAACAAAGATTAAGTTCCTCCAAGCAGTTCAGTAATTTTGCAATGTAAAGCCCACACCATCTGGAAGATGTTCCTAAGCGTGCGCTCACTGCCCCCTGCTGGAAGCTTCCGCGTCGTCAGTCGCGCTCCACTACCCTAAGCAGCACTGGGCTGGTCGGTCTGCACCTGCCAGGTGTCGCCTAACTCTAATGTGCCTTATCTTTATAGCCTATTTGCGAGAAGCCATTCCAGACAGCACCATTCTTAATTCTCGGAAATCACTACATGCCAGACGCTGACCTGGGCCCAGCAAGCTGCTCTGGGACCCCAGGCCAGAGCTGCAGACCACAAAATGTTCCAGAATAGGCTCAGGCACAGGGGAACCTCGGCCAAGGGATGATTCAAGGTGAAGTGTGTTTCCACGGGGTGACACGGGGTCTGTTTCTGGTGTCCTCTCCTAATCATCTCCTTTGTCATCTACTGACATATAAGCAGAAGAAGCTTCCGTGGCAAGGGAGGGCACCCAACTTTATTGTGTGCCTTCTGCGCTCTAGGGAGTCTCTGGATTCAGGTTATGGAGGAAACTCGAAATCTCTTATTTGTCAGGATCCTGAGGGTAAGGGCAGCAGCTAAAATCACTCAGAAATGTACAGAGTTGTATAAAATTGTCATACTCCAAAAAAAAAAAATCTTTAGAAAGCCACCCAGCATTCAATTTCATATCCAGCGATGTGAACATAGCTATGTTTTAATTTATAATATTCCTTTAACGAAAAGAACAATTTTTCTCTACCAGTATAACGAACATGAGCACATATGGCGGATACATCCAAAAAAAAAAGATACTACGCCTGCGGCGATTTTCTGTTTGATAGAATTAATAATACATGTTCCCCTTTTCTATTTTTCAGCATGTTTATATTACAAATGGTACTGTTTTTATAATCCTAAAAAACAAAAAAAGAAAAACATTTGTAAACAAGAGCATCTGCAGAGCCCAGAGTAAGCCCTGCCAGTCCAGTGCTGCTTGAAGGTAGCATGTTCGAGTCCATCTGCTTCCACAGAAGGGTCAGGTGACCCAATAAAGCCCGAGCAGCAGAACGGAAGATCTGGGACTCATGTCTGAAGGTCCTCATTTTTCTGGAAACAGGACAGGATGCTGTCTTCTGGAGTGGACATATATATATATACAAGCTATGAAGAAGCTGTCCGGGACAGTTGCGGCAGAAGTGAGCACTATGCAGACTACACCATTTCCTGTCTCAGGGATCGCCATCCAGTACCGGATTCACCAATCTGATTGGCCATCTGGTCGCCTCACACAGGTCTCTATGCCCAAGCCACAAGAAACTGCTTAGGGACCCCATGTCTGCTTGGAAACAGCCTCGAGAGGCCGGCAGCGCCGCTGAACTACGTTTCCCACAATGCTCGAGGAAGCCCGGGCCGCCGATGTCCGGAGTCCGACAGGCGTTCTCGCGCGGTACCTCCTGGGAGTTGTAGTCCATTGCCATCGCGCCGGCGCTGCTGCGGGCTCGGCGCTGGCCTTTGTCTGTCTGCGGGCGCGCGCCGCTGCGGTGAGTGAGGCCGCCGGCCGGGTCAGTGCGCCCTGGCTAGGCGGGGACGCGCTGGCAGGCCGCCACCCCTGGGGCCGCTGCAGCCCCGAGCAGGCCTGATCGGACTGGGCTCGAGGGAGGCCTCGCGAGGGGTGAGGTCCGCGGCCCATTGTGAAGGGTCCTTCTGGACCGAGAGTGGGTGCTGGCAGGCCTGGGGGACTAGAGGGGGTAAGGGGCTGGCTGGGAGGAGGAGCTGGGCCCCTCCAGCCGCTGATCTGCAGGGCAGGCTTGCTGAAGGCCTCTGCATCCAGGAAGCACAGGAGGCAGAGGCCTCAGGCAGGTGTGCCCGGGGGCCTGCGGTGAGGGGAAAGGTGGACAGGGGAAAGAGCAGTAGGGAGGGCCAGTGGGAGGAAAGACAGCTCCCTTGGGGGAATGGAGAAAAGATAAACTGGATTTAGGTACGTGGAGAAAATAATCAGCTCTTCTCAGACTCTCCTAATCTGTCCCCTGAAGGCTCCCTTGACAGCAAAACTGCCCCCCTCTTGCTCTCTTCTTTTGAGGACCCTCTGCTTCAGGCTTTATACCTCTGGGTGGTCAGAGACCCTTCACATTGGTTCTTTTGTTCTTAAGCAGGCTGATCTGACAGTATCATAACTATTTAATACATGAAGAATTAGATCAGTGCTATCCAGCTACTTGCCCAAGATCACAATGACAGGAGGGGAGGGCAGTCAAGGCAGAATTCCAACTTGTTCATGGCCTAATTCTGTGCTTTTCCCAAACTATAGTAGCCTTTTTGATAAGGAAATCAGTGTTTTCTATGACAAACCACTTTATCTAAAATCTTTAGGAAACTGACCCGTCAGACTTGTGACCTAGGAAGAAAAATAAGAGTTTTCCATTATTAATCAAAAGAGGTATCTGAGACACACTGAATTACTTGTAGATCTCACCACATATGAAAAGGCAGCGCTTTAAGACCTAAATCCACTTTCTCACTAAACTCTCTGGGGATTTCCCAGGAACACAGTCCAAGGGGACTTTAGACAGCAGATGCCATGTATTTCCACTGACTCTCAGTGGATATGTACTTGTTGAAATAACACCTTGAACTTCCAGGTGAATGTCCTTTGGCATCCTGGCTACCAAGAGGGATTCCTTAGTGGCCTCTCCATCAAATTGGTGGTTTCTCCAAATGAGAGTTTAAAATGCCTCTCCAGTCCATAGAATGCATAGTCATTAAGAAGACCGGGTGTTTAGGTTTAGAAAGCAAAGAATTGTAGCATATCCCTGCTTTCCTTAAGAGGCCACCATTTTGATGGGACATGTTAGGGAGACATGGAGACTACATATTTAGCCACTGCATAGATAACATGCAAAAATCCAATAATTAGGGCCCGAGAGTAAGAAGTAAATATTCAAAAATTTTTGAAAAAAATAAATTTGGTTCGAGGAATCCTGTGACCTGGAAGAATAATGAATTCTGACCAAGCTCTGTTCCATTCTATTCAATTTTTTAAAAAAGATTTATTTATTTATGCATACAGAACTGGGGTAAAGGCCAGAGGTGAAAGGGTGGTGAGAGGATTCACCAGAGACAGAACGGAGAGCAGAACAGGCCCACTGAGGAAGTACACTGCTGAGGGGAGCAGCGGGTGGGCCAGGAGAGGTCTGCAGTGCCATGTGGTCACCTCCAGGATAGGCAGGGATCGAACTCATGCGGAAGTGGCTTTTGCTTCTCAGTGCTATACTTTAACCCACTGCGCCACCATGGAGGGCCCCCATTCTGTTCAATTTTATAAGAACTCTCACCAGCCCTTTAGTGATAAGGAACTTGGGGATGGTCAAGTGTAGGGACATAGGGCATAGACTATACCAAAAGTCAGGCATTTGAACCTTTGCTCTACCTTGACTCATAACTGGCTCTGAGAATTTGGGTAAGTTACTGGTTGGAGTGCCAGACTGGGATATGGGATAATATCCAAGTATTTATACTTTCTCAAACTGGTATTCTCATAGTTGAACAATAGGAGAGGGGTCATTCTGAGTCTGGAGCCTCCTGAGAACTGCTAAAGGCTGACATAAAAATTTCATGTTCTATCCCTATAACCTTAGTAGGACAGGCGAGGACAGCTAGTCATTTCCATCTTACATCCAATCATGAAAGTGAAAATGTTGGTTTTTACAGATACTAAATTTCTCTAGAGACTTGAAATTTAAAAAAAAAAAAAAATAGTGAATGGTTGGTAGGAGAAGGAAGTAGAAGATCCCAGTTACATGCCAGGTACAAACAGCAGTGGCTGTTACCTTGGGATTAGCAGAAAGAAATGTGTGTCTCTGTATTCTCTGCTTTCCCATCTTCTCCTTCCTCTGCATTGATTTGTGAGGTCCACTTTACAATTTTATTATAAGTCACTGGCATCTTGCAATCCCTATTTCCTGTGTTCATTTACATGCCCAAAACTATCCCTGTTGGCTTTATCCTTCTCACTTACCATTCTCCCCTCTCCCCTGCTTCCTATTGTTGTTCTGGGTTGTTTTGTTGGTTTTATGTATGTGTTGGTGTATGTGTTTGGTTTTTTTGTTTTTTTTTTTTCTCCTCAGGTGATCAAGAACAGCCCATGGAAGAATCATACGAGGAGGTGTTGATTCAGGTCACACAGCAGGAGTGGACATGTTTGGGTTTCCGACAGCTACCCTGCTGGACTGTCACGGACGATATGCCCAGAATGTAGCATTTTTCAGTGAGTGAGTCGGTTGATCACTGGGATGCCTTAGCGCACCATACTCTGCGTCGTTGTTCTCAGTCTTCCTTAACAGACTGAAGAAGCAGAGAAAACAGTCCTCCAGTAGAGCTTATAGGGAAAGCCTGCAGTTTGGCATTAGAAAACAGAATCAGTGAGACAGCACCCTGCTGAGAAGGGTCACCTAAGGTAGTCTGAGAGTGTGAATGAGCCACTAGGTTCTCCACACAATTCCTGAATAAGGGTAAGACAGGAGAACAAGGAGGAAATCTCCCCAGTATGATTCCAGGAAAACTGCTGGCAGTGATGACTGGACCCCCATATTTAAAGTGGAATAGGAGCCTCGAATGCAAAGTGATGTTGTAAAATGATATCAATATCTGCTTAGGAAATGTGTGAGAATAACTTCTAAACCAAATTTATTTTACTTCCATCACAGTTTGGTAGAGAGTAGTAGCATGGGTTTTAAGGGGAAATTTCCTTAGATCAAATGTTGTCATTTCCCTGGCTCTATCTGTACTACCAGTCAAGTTCTTTAACTTTCTTGAGCTCCAAGTTCTTTGTATAATGGGACACTAAGCTCTGATATGTAGAGTTACATGATTAGAGATAAGAGATGTAACATATCCAGGATGTTAGTACATATTTCTTGACCTCATGGTACCTACACCACTGTCAGGACAGCAGTTTAAAGTGGAGGTGGATTTCTCAGGAAGCAAATGAAGTTTCACTTCCAGGACCCCTCACTCATATTGTTCTCTTAAGGTCCTATCCGTACTTGTATATTTTTTCTTAATGTAGTATCTGCAAAATGTTAAGGTTTTAGGCACCTTTTTTGGGATCAGAGTAGAGTTGGCTGTGGGACTCTATGTGCTCTTCTATATTTTTTGTAATTTCTCAGGGTCTGAATTATTTCTGTAAATAGGAATAACCATGGATTGTTTGGCAGGCTTAAACTTAAATGCACGCCTGTGTTTGAATCCCGCTGTACACTTCACTGGCTGCATGACCTTTCACTACTTCCCTGTGTGTTCATTTCTTTATCTATAGCAATCTCAGAATATGATCATTTTCAGGAATAATTCTCTATGTGACATTCATAGTATAATGTCTCGCACATAAACACTCAAACCATCACTTCTTTTTCCCCTGTTCTTCTCACTCAGCATATCGGTGCCTCTTACATGACTTCCCTCTCATTTTACCAGATGTGATGACAGAAACCCACCACAAATATGAGCACTCTGAGGCCACAGGATCCTCAAGCTGGGATTTCCAGAATTCTTTTAGAAGAGAGAGACTGGAACAAAAATCCCCAGATTCTAAGACTCTACAGGAAGAGTCACCTGGAGTGAGACAGAGGGTCTATGAGTGCCAGGAGTGTGGAAAATCCTTCAGGCAGAAGGGCAGCCTAACCTTACACGAGAGAATCCACACTGGTCAAAAGCCCTTTGAGTGTACTCATTGTGGAAAAAGCTTCAGGGCCAAAGGCAATCTGGTTACACATCAGCGAATACACACAGGCGAGAAGCCCTATCAGTGCAAGGAGTGTGGGAAAAGCTTTAGTCAAAGAGGGAGTCTGGCCGTTCACGAAAGACTCCACACTGGACAGAAACCTTATGAATGTGCTATTTGTCAGAGAAGTTTCAGGAATCAAAGTAACCTTGCTGTCCATAGAAGAGTTCACAGTGGCGAGAAGCCCTATAGGTGTGATCAGTGTGGAAAAGCCTTCAGTCAGAAGGGAAGCTTAATTGTTCACATCAGAGTCCACACAGGCCTCAAGCCCTATGCCTGTGCACAGTGCAGGAAGAGTTTCCACACCAGGGGGAATTGTATCCTACATGGCAAAATCCACACAGGGGAGACACCTTATCTGTGTGGCCAGTGTGGAAAGAGCTTCACTCAGAGAGGGAGCCTGGCTGTGCACCAGCGAAGTTGCTCACAAAGACTCACCCTATGACCACTCTTCAAAGGAAGTCCCATGAATTAAGAATACAACGTCCTCTGAGATCAAGCTATTTCTTTAACTATGGAATGCATGGAGCCGTCAGGAAAACCAGCATTGGAGATAACAAACTGATTTTCCTTTCCCCAAAATGAATATGAAAAATAAGTGTCCTGTTAATTATCATTATCATGTATATCACATAGATTCTGTTTATTTTGAACTAATTTCTCAAGGTGCCTCTATTAATCCAGTGGCACTGGGAGATTGTTCTCTCATAAGATCATTTTTAAATTTGTAGTTTACATCATCAGCCTTTTAAAAAGCATCAGTTCTTTATCCACCCCAAGGTTCGTTATTTCCCTGCATATTCAAATTAATCTTGTTTTGCATTCAAGACCAATGGGAAAATTTCATAGCATGAATAATTATTTTAATAATCCTCTTATTGAACTTTGTCTTGCCTGGATGATACTCCCAATAACTTAGTTTAACAAATCACTCATGTCCAGAGCAGAGCCCTGATCTTTCCTGGCAAAAGAAGATTGCAGTGCATCAAAAGTGTGATATCTGTACACTGAGATTTTCTTCAGTCTTCTACTCCTCACAGAGAATTTGCCAATAGCCAAAAAGCATACACCATCTGTATGCAATCTTTTGAGAACTGTAAGCTTCCTATCATTGCCTCTATTTAACTCCTACTTCCTGGGGAAAACAACCTTCACTCCATTTCTGGCAATACCAACAATAACTTGGGGTTGGGGTCACCTATAAAGTATGTATTATTATTGGTGGATCTGAATTTGTATTAGTGAAATCAGTCCTTCAACAATACTTCCTCTTCCTATACAAACACATGAAGAAAGTTGGAAGCACACTAACTTTTTAGTCACTCAAAGGATGATATTTGAAAAATACTAGAGAACAGAAATTGGCTTTGAAAGGTAATTTGTGTTTTTAAGCCTTGGCCATACAGTTTCATGTTGAGCATTTACGTAATTAAAACAATGGTGATATAACGTGGTTTTCCTGATAAAATACTGTAGGTGACGTAATCCAGAAAATATCATCTAGAAAGGCAAATTATCAAAAGTCTGGGCATTGAAAGCTTTAGATACTATGGGTTTGAATACTAATACAAAAAGTACTCCAAAGATACCCTGACAGGATTTGAAGATGTGTACAAGAATGTTTGTATCTTCATTTTTAATAGTTATCAATGTACAATAATCCAATGACAAATAGCAGGTGATAAATTGTGTTAATATATAATGAAATGTGATTCATCAATAAAAAGTAAAATGTTATGTATGAAATGAGATAGATGAGTCTTAAAGCCTGTTGAATGAAAGAATTCCAGTACATGCACAAATACGGTATTTTATTTATATGCCTTCACAGGACATTATAATACGCTATAATAGAAAAAGAAAAACTAAACTACCATACATAATAATATCTCTCAAGGAAGGTAGGGATAGACTCGCAATAGAAATTGACTTGACTTAAAGGGGCACAGGCCACTTTATAAAGTGGGAAAATATACTTCACCTTCCTTCAGGTAACGAATGTGTATGTCACTGTCAGAATCCACTGATTACAATACTTAAAATCTACAATAGAACACAACACAGTTATGATTTCAGCTTTTTAAGTTCCAAAATTTTTCTTCTTGTTCCTCTTGGTATACTTACTCTGAAGAAAAGCAGCAACCAACCAAGGAAAAAATCTAGCTGAGTCATAAGTCACAAGCGCTTTAATAAAACAAGTTGCAGACAGCTTACCTTATTTTGATCTGAAAAAGAAAGCATTAATTCTTTCACTGTTGTGATGTGACCTCTAGTTTGTTTTTTGTGTTTTTGTTATTGTAATCGTCATTTAAGAGATTTGAGTCAGTTCACCTTTCTAGTTGCTTACAGCTTTTATTATGAATGGATGTCATTATGATGAATACTTTTTCTGTATCAGTTGATATCATCATAAATTTTTTATTCCTTAGGATTTTATCTTCTTTAATATAGGTTATGTTGACTAATTCCCAAAGGTTGAATGAACCTGAAATTCATGGGATAAGCCTCATTTATTCATGGTGTTGTGTATATATATATATATATATATATATATATATATATATATATATATATATATATATATATATATATATTTTTATTTTATTTGGGTTTTATTTTATTTGGAATTTACTTGTAGGTAATGGTAGAGCATTTCTTTTGCGCTTTTAAGCTATTCAGAGGTCTCATACACAGACATATGTTACACATGCACATATAATGCACACAGCTAACGTTCATTGTGTATTTACTATGCATCTGTCATACAGTTAAGCATCCTCCTTTAAACTAATAAAAGGTTATCTGCATGTGGTAGAAGATTTAACAGGCTATATAATTTGTCAGGGTCTTGCACAATATACAGAGGTGATCTACATATCTTGCACCCTTGCTTCAAAGCTTCTAATTGCTGTTATATAGTTTTAGATATTACTCTATAACCTACTCTGCACTTGACATATCTACTCCGTTCATTTTGTTAGTTGTATCACATGCCTGTGGTAGATTGCATTTTCTCAAATGGTCAAAACATTTCCCTTTCAATGTGTTCTGTTCACAATATGATTCTGAAACTCCTTCCATGAAGAAGTATGGTTTATGTTCCCTCCCCACTTAATTTGAGTAGGTTTCACAGAGAAAGTGATAATCTCTTTTTGAGGTTAGATCACAACAAATACTGGTTCTTTGCCTGATCCTTTTGGTACATACGCTCTTGGAACCCTGGCATCATGCTTAGAGGAAGCCCAAGAAATAACATGAAAAGGTCTTGTGAGACTTTTCTGTAAACAACCTTCCTGGAGGCTCCAGCCAGTAGCATAAGCCATCAACTATGTGAGTCTTCAGGTCAGTTTTGACCAAAAGAGATACAATGTGAATTCCACATGCAAGTCATATATGTAACTTTCAATTTTCTAGTGACCACATTCAAATCAACTTTAATGTATTTAACCCAATATATCCAAAATATTATTTTGACATATAATCAATACTTTAGAAATTGAGATAACTTACCTTTTGTCATACCAAGTCTTCAAAACTTGATGTTACATATACACTTGATATATCATGCAAAACTTGATATATTATCCATTTATGGTAAATTTCAAGTCAGAATAACATGTTTCAACTGCTCCAAGGCCATGTGTGTCTACTGTGCTACAGTGATTTCAGATGATTCCATCAACCAACTGTCATGCCAATTATAGTTGTGAGGGTTCCCAGCTGAGACTAAAATATTGCAGTTACAAAGTTGTTTCTGCTACAATTCCAAGTTCTTCACTCACAAAATCTGTGAGCATAGCAAAATGGTAACTAAATTTGGGGTATTTTAGGCATCAATAGTAAGCAGGAGTCCAGCCTATATAAGTTCTATAACTTAAATGATTCCCTCCTTAGTTGTTTTATGCAGTTCTTTCCAAGATTTTATTACAGACAATGCTATAAGGAAAAATATCATTTCTGGAAGCCAATCTAATTATTTGCAAGTGGCTTTTCTAAGAATGGGACATGTATAAGTTGACTAATGTTCAGTTGTCAATCTGCTTGTAGATATACATATCTACCCCTTTTATTATTTAACTTAAATGCTTAGTTCCTTAATATTCCTCTATAATTTTTCTTTATTTTACATTTTATTGTAAAAGATTCAAGTAATGTATAAACTACATTAAAGGGGTCCTATACCCCTTTGTCTAAGTTGGCTTTTTCTCCTACTTAATGGCTTCTACATTTTTCTGTAATTTTATAAGTCTAACTGATTAAATGCTGATTGATTAACTACTTTTGTAATTGTTTTTTTTTTTTTTAATTTTTTTGTGTAGAACTGGGATTTAGGCCAGAGGGGCAGATGGTGAGAGGTTTCACCAGAGACAGAGTGGGGAGCAGAACAGGCAGATCTACTGAAACACACTGCTGAGGGGAGTAGTGGGTGACATAGGAGAGGTCCACTGTGCCATGGGGGTCAGCTCCCTGGCTGGGGATGAGAGCTCAACTGTAGAGATCAGTGATAAAGCTGAGACTTTACCCTTAGGCCACCAGGGAGACCCCTAATTGTTATGACTGTTGTCGTACAAAGAATGAATGTGCCTTAAATTTAACCTTGGTGATCGACATCACAGTGACCAATTTTTCTTTATTATATTTAGTTTTACTTTTTTCCCTTTACTTTGTATTAGATATATTAGAAGTAGAAATTAGATCAAAGACTAAAAGCATTTTGAAATTGACAAATTATGAGTCTCACTGCCAACTATATTGTCAGTAAACTATTTCTTCCATAAAATGCAAGTGAGACTATTTTCATTTGCTCTTAAAATCACCAACTATTTTCTATCTTGTCCTTTCTGTCGAGTAGACTAAAAAAAAAATTCTCATCATTTTAAGTCACATTTCTCTGAAGCTGGTATCTTTTTAAGTTTCACTGTTTGTATTTTTTCTGGTAACTGCATGTTCATGGTAACTGCATGTTCAACTGCATGCTCGGATCATTCTCCACTGGAATTTTTACATTTTTGTTATTTGTACTTTTATAGTTTAAACTTTTATTTCTTTACTATTTTATATTTATTATTTTCATATCTTCAGATATTTTAAGTATTTTTATAAAGTATTTTTATATGTGATAATGGCAATATTTCATTGAAGTCTGGTTCTTTGTATTTTAACATTGTGAAGCCTCTGGTCAGACAATTTTTTTTTTTTACTTTTTTATGTTTTTTTTTTTTTTTGCTTCTGAATTGATTAAATATTTCAAAAACTACAGCCAAAGTCAAAATTTCACTTTGTCATATCAATACTATATTATCCACCCTATTCCCCAAATTGTAAAGTTTGGTCTTAGTTTTTCCAGATCTTTTTGAATATGAGATCCATTTATATATAAAAATGTATTTTTCTTAAAATATAAAAAGAGCATAATGTTTGCAACTTGCTATTTCAATTTGACATGTTTTCATGGGGATAGTTCTATGGCCATATATATAATTTTTTAACTTTTCAAATATCAATAGTATTTCATAGTGATAAACATTTAGGTTTTTCAATATTTCACCAGTACAAACCACACTACAGTGAAATCTTCAGAAGTGAAAAGTTCTCCAAGGTAGAGATGTACAAAATATTGTTAAATGTGTAATTTATCGAATGTCTCCTTTTTGGTAGTGAACATGGACCAAACTACTGCATGATTTACCACACTAAATATATTAGATGGTGTCGTCTGTTATGAAATGCCTTATGTACTGAAGGGCTGAATGCTGAAAAAATACCTCCCACATTCATTACATTTATACAGGTTTTCTTCAAGTACTCATTAATTCTCCGATGTTCAGTAAGGGTTGAACTCCTTGTGATGGCATTTACAGTCACTCCATTGATAGGGCTTTTCACCACTGTGTGATTTCTGATGCCCTGCCAAGTACGGATTCTATCAGAAAGAATTCCCACACTTACTAGTGATAGGGTTTCTCTTTTATCTGCATTCTTTGTTAGCTAGTAAGAGCTGAGTTCTTCCTAGTCTTTTGCATATTCATTACACTGATATGGTTTCTCTCACCAGTGTAGATTTTATGATGTCCCATTATATTTGCTACCCCTGAACATTTTCCCACATTCATTCCATTGAATAGGCTTCTCCCCACTGTCTTACGTTCTCATGACCAGGAAATACGCCCTTCTGAACAAGGACTTTTCCCCAGTCCCGGTAGTTGCAGGGTTTCTGACCAGTATGAATTCTCTCATGATTGAAAAGGACAGATTTCTTTCTGAAAGCTTGCCACATTCACAGAATTTATGGGGATTCTCTTTAGAATGAATTTCTGATGGTTAGCAGATGTTGAAGAATTGGGCAAATATACATGTATAAGGTTGCTTGCCTATGCGAATGAACTTTATGATTTCAAAGGGATAGGCAGCTCATAAACACACCCCCACATTCTTTACATTTATGGGGCTTCTCACCAGTATGGTTTCTCTGGTGGCTATTAGAAGACCTTCCCAAATTCTTCACCATTTATAGTGTTTCTTCTTTGCAGACCTTCTGCCCTCCCAGTTCAGGCCTTTTTTGATGATGACACTTTTTGTTCTTATGCCAAGAACATGTGCTTCAGAAGTATTTTGCTTTGGGGCTGACATATCTGTTTCAAACTAGTACTCCTGAACTGAAAGAAAATTAAAAAAAAAAAAAGTCAGGTGTTCTCTATGCTAAAATACTGAATATGAGAGCTGCACAAGGATAAGGATATTTTAGGCCACCCAGTTAAGGGTTATGCAACATTAACTCTTCTCTTTGATTCTTGCGGAGAAAACTTGGGAAGACTAAAGATGGGAAAATAGGATTTTAAAGAAATGGGAAGTTATAGCATAAACATTGCATTTAAATAATTCAGGGAGCATCTAAGAAGTTGGTAAGTTAGAAAAGTAACACAGGAAACACCCTAAAAGGAAAAAAAAAACTGAGAATACAAGAATAAGCACACAATTGGGGAGAAAATGAAGCATCACAAAAGCAAACTGAGTCCAAGCAAAGATTCATGGATAGTACATTTGAGAATATTGTGATGTCTCCAAGAACTTGAGAAAAAAATTGTATCGGTATGAATATAATACAGAATTAACAATTGAAAGCTCAGAGGGAAAAAGAATTGGCAAAATATTTAAGTAAACAAAATGGTTTCAGGTCAATAAGATTTAGCTAAAAGCTAATTGATGTTTTTGCATATATTTAAAGATGCCAATTAAGAGGTGACTTAGGCTCTATGATCCTGCTCTAGGGCAGAGCATTAAAACCTTTGTTCTAATAAAAATACATATATAAACTTAAAAATTACCTTTCACAAGTTTCAAAACAACTTAATAGGTGCCCGGTCCAATGCTATGCTCTAAGAGCTACATTAGCTCCTGAATTTCCACAACTGTACCGAGTACTATTTGCTTTATAGCTAAGGACACTAAAGCTTAGAATCTCAAGAATTAGTTCAAGGTTACAGGAGATCAGTAGAAAAAGCAGCAATAA